GCGGCACGGATTCAGGGAGCGTTCAGGGAGCATGAGCTGAAAGTTAGGTCAAGCGCGGTTCGGTTCGCTAGCAAAGAAGAAGAGGCCAAAAACATAATTGCCGCGATGAAGATTCAGAATGCCTTTCGCAATTACGAGACACGTAGGAAGATTGCAGCCGCTGCTCGGATTCAGTACAGGTTCCAAACATGGAAAATGAGGCGAGAGTTTCTGAACCTGCGGAATAAGGCAATTAGGATCCAGGTACAAGCAATGAAGCAAATTCTGATTTATATACGGTTTTTAAACATCAAAACTAAGAAAAGAAACGGAAGGTTATCTACAATCCAATAGAACGGATCCGTGTTTTTTGAATATGGGAATGTATTTGCAGGCTGCGTTTAGAGGGTTCCAAGTAAGAAGACAGTACCAGAAGATAACATGGTCGGTAGGAGTGCTCGAGAAGGCGATTCTGAGGTGGAGACTGAAGAGAAAAGGATTCAGAGGGCTTCAGGTTAGCCAAGCTGAGGAGAAAGAAGGGAGTGGGACGATAGAGGATTTCTACAAAACAAGCCAGAAACAAGCAGAGGAGCGACTCGAGAGGTCAGTGGTTCGAGTCCAGGCCATGTTCCGATCCAAGAAGGCTCAGCAAGATTATAGAAGGATGAAATTAGCTCATGAAGAAGCTCAGGTGACAAAAATATACTAAAACTTTTGCATCTTTCTAACTCATTCAGATATCTAAATCAAAAACATAGAGTATTAGTTACAAGATTATCAAAAACATAGTATTAGTTAAAAAAAATTAATGTAATTTCAGATTTGATGATTAATGAATTCACAGGTGGAGTATGATGGGATGCAAGAACATGATCGAATGGATATGGAGACCTAAACAAAAAAACAATAAAGAGGAAAGTTGTGTGTAAATTTGTGTAAAATGACAAAGGGCAATTTCGACCTTTTACGAAGCTGTTTTCTGAAAAGTTTCAAAAGGGTATTATGGTAAAATTCAATCCTGGAGCTGGTTGATTTCCCCATAGAGCGTCTTGTCGTTTAGTTTGTATTGGTAAAAGGATTGTTTGTTAGTTTTGTTGTGTGACTTGTGAGATTTGACGCTATATTTAAAAAGCTCATAATCTACCCTCTTTGTTTGCTTCTTTTTGGATTTCTGACTTAATAAAGTTATATTAAAACTATATTTAAATTATGTGTCACAATCTGTTTCATTATTCTTGTTAAATAGTACGAGAAATATGAAACAAATAATATACGTGAAAACCAGAGTGTATATGAGAATCAAATTTTTCTTCCTTAGTCGAATGTTGTTCAAGTACAAAAATGCCTTCTTCTTCCACAAAATTTTTGTTACAAACTGCTCTTGATTTCCTTTCGTTTATTATATAGCAACTTTTACACTTTGTGGCGTTGTTGAAGCTGAGCTTTCGACCTGAAATTTTGAGATAAAACAGGAATTGCTTGCTTCGAAAATCGAGATTTTGATTTATAACAAGAATCAGAGAATGTAAAAATCCTGGATTATTGTATTTACCTTGGCTGCTTTGAACAGTTCGTCGACAACTTCAGACAACGTTGGATGTGCATGAACCGCAAATTTTATGTCCTGCATCATCATAAAAAACCGAAAAAAGGTCACACTAAAGCCTCATGAATCAAAACTCAGGGACAGATTGGTTTAGCCAGCAAAAAAAACCACTTACCTGAATCCGTGTTCCTAAAGCAATCGCGTTGGATGCTTCATGAATAAGATCCGCAGCATGCAATCCAAAGATATGGACTCCTAAGATTTCACCATTGTCAGGTCTGTATATCATCTGCGCACATATGAACGTCAGAGTGTTCGGTTATCTTCTTATTCACTCGAGGACTATCAACATTCAAACAGCTTTCTATTTAAATTCTTCTGTTAACCTTAGCGAGTCCTTCTCCTTCGTTTTCGGCCAGTGCCTTTGTGTTTGCCTTAAAACTTGTCTTGGCAATACTTACTTTAAATCCTTCTTTCTCAGCTTTCTCTCTCGCTTGAGGCTAAAATTTGCAGAAAATGAATACCGGAACATAAAAGGTTACGGTTACATTTTTTAAGAAACACTAAATCCACTAAAGGTGTCTAGAGTTACCTCGGTCAATCCCACCATACTGATTTCAGGATGAGTAAAGCAAGCAGCTGGGATGCTAAGATGATTAAGCACATGATCTCTACCAGTGACTTGCTCCACCACTACGTAACACGAGTAAAATGCACATAAGAGGCTGATAAAAAAAACCTAAAATTTTAAAAGACAGTAGCATCAGACTGTAGATGATCCATTTACCCGAAATTCCTTGGGCACTAGCTGCATGAGCGAGCATCAGTTTACCGTTGGCATCACCAATGCAGTACAAGTTTGGAACCTATCAACCAAGAGTGACTCAGTACATAAAAAAATAACTGTTGGTAAGTGATAAGATGTTCTCATGAAAATAACACTAACCAGCTTTCCATTTCCATCGATAACACGCATTCGCTCATCAACTGGTATAAAACCCCTCTGCGTCACCACATTGATCTGTGTGGGAAGGATAGATTTAAGGTTATTTCTTCCATACACTCCTCAGGGAATGAAAAATATTATTCATTACGGATGCGGTTTATTGTCAACTCCTACATTTTCCAGGCCCAGACCATTGGTGAATGGAGCTCTTCCAGTAGCAATTAGAGCAGCGTCCACCTTGAAAAAGGAACATACGGTCACAGTTAAAGCGCCAAAAGAAAACACATGATGGAATTAAAAGATGTTTCTGTTTCTTTTCTTTTCCTGGAGAAAACGATCAAGTTCTAGAAAACAAGAAGCCTGACTAACGTACACAGGAAGTCTGCATGTCATAATTCATATAATTTGCAAATGGCAATTGGCAAGCCCACATGGGAAGACTAAACGCATCACATAACAGAAAAATTGTTCTTTTTGTATAATTTCAGATAGTTGCAACACATTTTTGTTACCTCCAAAGTATCCTTGGGTTCCTTAGTTTTGGCATCAATAAGCTCAATCATCACTGGTCTTCCATCTTTTGCTGGAGTGATCTGTAAAGAAGAGTTAAAAGACAATTAATATTCATAAACACACTGTATTAGGAAGAAATGGTATTTAGAATGCATGAGATGAAAAAAGGCTTACTTTGCTTGCAAACACTCCAGTATGATAGTCAATCTTTCTTGGATTTATAAGAACCCTTTGAGCCAGCTTACTAATCTCAGGATCAAATCCAGGCATTAGCTGATCCAACGCTTCAATAAAAGTTACCTGCAGAAAAATTTGTCCTGAGTTTGGTCACTTCCTGAGTGCACCGCAAAACTTTTAAGAAAGAAAAACAAAGCAATAAGCTCATTTTCAGTTCAATCGGTAGCAGCATCCTAAGGGCCTTTGTTGCTACTGAGAGAAGACAAACGACTACACTGAAAGCAACAAATACCACTCGTTCATACCAAATTACCAATGCAAATAATTAGTACAAAATCAACACGTTACCTCACTTCCAAGGGCCGTGTAAACATCACTGAACTCAAGACCGATATAACCACTTCCTACTATCGCAATCCAGTCAGGAACAGACTCTAATTTCAATGCATGGTCACTTGTGATAACAGTCTTTCCTGCAACACAATATACGAGAAATACTAAGGTGCTTGTTGCTATACTTACTAAAAAAAGACGAGAAGTTTTAGTTGTTGAAGCTTCTCCCGAGCATTTATATGTTTAAAACAAAACACATACCATCAACTTCAATTCCTTTAGGAACAAACGGTACAGATCCAGTTGCAATGATAATATCTTTTGCGGTGATAATATTGTCAGGGAAACCAACCTTTCCATATTTAACCTTTTGTGGACCCTGTACAAGTACACAAAAGACTAAAGCATCATCAAGAATGCCAATTAAGAACAACGTACATATGTTGAGTTAAGCCAACCAATGATTACAGAATACAGACCAGAACACTGCCAAACCCTGCCAATATGTCAACACCAAGTGCCTTCATTGAATTAGTGAGGTTATTCCTAATTTTGGTAGCCAGATTATTAGCATGGTCTGCCACACCCTGACGGTCATAACCGGCAGCTGAAACCTGTTGTTCAGAGGAGACAAAAAGAAGCAAGATAGAGTCAGGACTCAGGACCAAGGAGATAGTAATTGCTTCACAATTAATCAAAATCAAAACTTTCGAGCATCTACTATCATTTCACAGCAGAAAAGAAAGAGAAAACTAAAACACAACACTAGCTGATGTTAATTAGATACGTCTAAATCGAGATCATGCAACGCCAGTGATCCCATAGAGCCAAGATTCAGTTGATATTACCTGCAGACCAAAGGCCTTCATGTGATGTTCGTTCTGGAGTTCTCGCATCCTACCACTAACCGCGAGGAGAGCTTTAGAAGGCACACAACCTCTGTTCACACAAGTACCTCCAACAACATCTCCTTCAATGATAGCAGTTTTAAGTCCCTATGAAGTTTGCACAGACTAAGAAAAATTTCGTATTTTTTGAGAAATAATAATGTATCAATTTTGAAACAAAATATGGGCAAATGATAGTAACCCTTTTTCACTAGATCAATAAGCGAACTTGTTTCTCTTCCCCAATTATAATCGGAATTGAAAGCGAAAACCTTTTCGACGGCGTGCAATGCAGCCCCGTGACCACCAACTCCAGCTCCGATAATGACCAAATCATAATCGAACGATTTCGACGGAGCTCCATTACCAGCAACAGCAGAAGAAGCAGAGACTTCGATTCTCCTACCTTGGATTTGGAAACGACACGAGGTCAACTTCTTCGTCGGATAGAAACCAAACGTCTCTCGCCGGAGTCCACAGAACCGGAGACTCCTCGGCGTAGAAGGTGCGCCGCAAATCGGACGGTTCGGTATAACAAGCGATGCTTGTGAGAAAGATAGAGAGAGGGTTGATTGCATTTTT